CTTTCTACATTGATTCCTCAGGACCTAAAGTTCATAACCTTCAGGGTATCCCCTAAATTTCACCTGTTATCCCAGTTCTTTTCTGGGCAGAACAGAGGATGCTACTGAACAGGATAAGCTTCCAAAAGATGACATATTATGGTGCCTGATGGGAGATTAATAGGTATAGTTCTTAGGTTTATAACCTACCAGAAAATGTACTTGTACTTGGTGTTGCTCAGATCTTTAACTCAAATAAGTTTTGTTTTTCTTCACTTAAATCATTGCTCTGGGGTGGGGCTAGAGATGAGGGGTTCAGTTTGCAGGCTATCATGGGGAGAGAAGACAACCCCAGCCCTCTCTCACTGCAGCAGCTTGGGGCCAGGTGAGAAGTGCCTCTCCATGGCAGCTGCACTGGCACAGCCAGAGGAGTGATACATGACTCCCGGCTGGAGTCAACAACAGTTAGAGGAGGTGACATTGGGACTGAGGACCCTGCACATGCAGGAGGCAGGTGCAGGATTGGGGCCCTTTGGAGTTTTGCACCCATGGGGACTCAGTCTGGGAGAAAGGGACAAGCAGTGGCTCAGCCCCCGAGGGCACCATGGATTGGACCCCTGCCAGACCCTATCCCCTGCAGGGCTGGACACCCCATGGTCACCTACCCACTCACCCCCATCTTGTTGTGCCGTGGCCAGCCTCCCTGCCCCTCCATTTTCCTGAACCCTCCCCCAAGCCACCTTGACCCCAGTCCTGTTCCCAGGGGCACCCTGTCCCACAACTTCCAGAACCCCCTCAGTCACTTTGTTCCTGAGCTTTAGCCCCAGGCACTCCTTGACACCATCTCCGACCCCTGGACAGACACCCTACCCCCAGCCTGCTCCTGCACCCTCTCCTATGGCTAGACACCCTACTCCCAGCATGCTTCTGCACCCTACTTCCCACCCAAACTTTGCACCCCACCTCCAACCCAGATCCTGCACTCCATCCCTATCCCACTCACTGGTAGCCCTATCCCACATACTGAACCCCTCATTTTTACTCCACCCCAGAGCCTAAGGGGGTCCATAAAACCACTAACTCCAGAACCCCAGAAAAGTAAATCTGGCCTATAGGAAGCCCTGAACCTCAGTCCTTCCTATCCCTTCCCTTCCCCTTGCTCCGTGGGGCTAGAGAACCAGAGGAGTGAGGTGTTTCAATTGGGGGCCATGTGAAGATTGGGGCTTTTTGGGGGAGGTTTTTTTGCTTCTACTTGTATAGTCCCCAACTACTGATTTTTTTGTGGGTCAGTGGCCCCTGACACAAAAAAAAGGTTCCCTACCCCTGTCATAACTAAATAAAAAAACCCATTGAAACCTGTTGTATTGGACATAAATGAATATTTTATTTTATTTAAAATGAAGTTTGATAAACTAACATGAGAAAGTTAAAGTGCTTAATCTCGTTAATAATCTAAATGAAACCATTCTCCCTAACTGCAGAACTAGCAAAATATCTTGGGTGTAATTATGTAATTAACAGTGAGTTTTCATTAGCAACTGGTGATCCATGGAAAGGTTTACATTGAGCCAGGTGGTCCATTGGCCAAAAAGTTTGAGAACCACTGCCCTAATATATTTTTAAAACAAAAATTATTTCCTGTGGTTAATTCTTTTTATGCACTTTTCATTCAACTCTACTCAGTGCAAGTTTTTATTGATACCACATACTCGAGCCTTACTCCTTTTTTATTATTATTATTTTCACAAGTTATAATTGCTCCGTTTCCTTCAACAGACACTAGCATTTTTTTATTGTTAGGTAAGTCAACTGCTTCCTAACATTTATCTGTAACAGTGTCTATTAGGTCAGGGATAGTCAATAAATGGACCATGGGATAAATCCAGATCACCAAATGCATCTGAACAGACTCTGACCTCTTGTTTACTTAGGGTATGTCTACACTACAACGTTATTTTGAATTAACTTATTTCAAATTAGTTAATTTGAAATAACGCATATAGACCCAAAAACTAATTCGAATCAGCGTTTTGCTAATTCGAAATAGCGCGTCCACACTGATTGGACGCTGGGTTGCATTTAAGGCCAGTTGAAACCGGTTCCAGCAGGGCATCAGGTCAGTAGTTGCTGTGTGTGGCTGCTGTCTGAGGCTGAGGCTTGTGCTTAAAGGGACCCCCGTGGACAGCTGGTTCTCAGCTTTTCCGCTTGCTTGCCTACCTCACCGAGGGACAGCAAAGCATTTTCCTCTTCACCAGCAGGGGGCCGTCTGGATCCGGCAAGCCCTGCGGGAGAGCTTCCTGGTGGAGGAGGACTGACTTCTCCCTGCATGCCCCACTGGGGCCTTCTTCCACCCTCACCTCCTTCCTCTTTCCCCTTCCTAACCCCCCTTCCTAATGTAAAATAAAAGCACTTGTTTTGCCAACAAAAATCTCTTTTATTTTACATAACTGGGGTGGGGGGGAGGGTAGGAATGAGGGTGGGAGAGGGGAGGGGGAAACCTGGGAGGAGGGAGCTGGAAGGGGAGGAAGGAAAGGGAAAGCTCAGGGTTTGGGGGCTTGCTGCCTCTCCCGTCTCGCAGCACTGTGGGTGTAGGGGCGTCGGGGGGGGAGTGGGTGTGGAGGGTGGGGAAGGAGGGACAGGGAGTGCAGAGGAAGTGGGAGGGGGGGCGGGGGGG